AGGAAGCTAGCAGCAGATGCCCTGCCTACAGGCTATTTGTACACTTGATATCACAGGGCACTACAGTTCGCTAGCTCCACAAACACCTACTTTCCTTCTCCTCACCCAGGAACATCTGAAAACTCACATCGATGTTGGCAAAACTCTTTTGACAACGAGAGCTATTGAAACCACTCTTGGATGGTGAACACCACAGAGGAATGAGACAGGGACATAAATGAGGAGGAAAATTACAGCTTAAATTTAAGATTAAACTTGAAAACTTAGTGTTCTCTCTCTGTCTTCTTTCTAATTCCCTGATGCCCTACTTCAAAAAGTTAGTCTTATTGTTGAATATGGATCTTCAGCACTTATTTAGCAAGCCTCTACCATTACATTCATTTTTCTTTCTCCAGAGAAAAACCACCCCACTCTGGAAGTTAGGATTTTACATTGAGAACAGAGAACACTGGGGCTCCAAGGAGAGGCAAATGAGGACAACGCCAAGATTTTTTTGTTCTCTCTTTTTTAAAGAGCTTTTCTCTACCTAAGGTGGGTACCAAACCCTTGAATCTTCTCTTAAAGTTTTGGAGTTCATATATGTTTTTAACTGTCTATTTTGACTCATTCAGTTTAATTCACTCTATGTTTCTCTTCTTTAAGGATAACTTATGGGGATGAAATTAGAGATTTGGGGCATGAAAAGAATGAAGGAATAAAAAGCAAATTGACTCAAGTGATTTAATTCTCTTTTTTATCAAGGTTAGTTAACCCTCTTCTCTAGTTCCTGCCATGAACAATCTGGCCTCAACTTTTCCCATATGCAAAAGGACGAACTTGGACACTATAACTTAAAAGGCTTTTTCCTGCTATAACAGTTAATTTTCATTTTACCTCAACTTTTCCCTATAGAAAATTGTCTCCTATTAAAACTACACTTAGGTTTGGGCTTCCCTTGTAGCTCAGCTGGTAAAGAATCTGCCTGCAATGTGGAGGACCTGAGTTCAATCCCCTGATTGGGAAGATCCCCTGGAGATGGGAAAGGCTACCCACTCCAGTATTCTGGCCTGGAGAATTCCATGGACTATGTAGTCCATGGGGTCACAAAGAGTCGGACATGACTGAGCAACCTTCACTTTCACTCAGGTTTAGGGTTTGCATTTTAAAAACAATACTTGGACTGGGAAGACCCAGAGGGATCGGGTGGAGAGGGAGGTGGGAGGGGGGACCGGGATGGGGAATACATGTAAATCCATGGCTAACTCATTTCAGTGTATGACAAAAACCACTGCAATGATGTCAAGTAATTAGCCTCCAACTAATAAAAATAAATGGAAAAAAAAATAAATAAATCAGCAAGATTGAAAAAAAAAAATAAAATAAAATAAAAACAATACTTGGTGCCTTTTACTGTGTATTAGGTGCCATTTCGTACCTTCCTTCATTAGTATTAATTTTGGCCCCCAAAAATAAGTTAGAGATGATAAGATGAAGAAAACACTACTAATTCATTGACATATTCCATAAATATCCATTACTTGCCAAAATGTAACTCAATTTTAGAAACACTAGATAAGAAATGGTCTTCGCTTTTACCTACCTTTTGGTTCTATCTTTTATATATCTCTTGGTGGAGAGAGAAAACAATATAATAAAATGCATCTTTTTATAAGAGATAACACAGCAGTTATGGGAAAACAGAAAAGAAAAATTGGGGGTTTTGTTTAATGGATTCAGAAAAGAGTCCACGAAGGTGATGAGATCTGAGATATCTCCAGAAGGATGGCTGGAAGAGAAATAGGTGGAGAAGAGGCAAAGGAGATAAGCAGAAAGGACCAGCCCTTCAGTTACGAGGTGGCCGCCGGCCCAGCAAAGCCCCGCCACCTGCTGTTCATGCCCTTCTGTAGTTCCCGCTCGCCCTGAGGAAAGGCAGCCTGGGTAGCCTGTAAGTTATTGCCAAATGACTGTGCCTTTTCAAGGCTTGTTGCTATTGTTGTTTAATGGCTAAGTCACGTCCAACTCTTTTGCAACCCCGCGGACTGTAAATTGCCAGATTCCTCTGTCCATGGGGTTCTCCAGGCAGGAATACTGGAGTGGGTCGCCATTTCCTTCTCCAGGGGATCTTCTGAACCCAGGGTTCCCACCTCCATCTCCTGAATCAGCAGGCAGGTTCTGTACTGCTGAGCCGCCAGGGAAGCCCTGTTTCCGAGACCGTGTGAACTATGGTCTTGTCGGTCTTGGTCCCTCCTGGAGATCCCACTCTGACGGAAGTCTGTGACCATGTTGTAAGGATGCTCAAGCAGCCCACAGAGAAGACCCCATGGAGAAGACTGAGGCTTCCTGTTAATAACCCAAACCATGTGAGTGAGCCGGCTGGGAGGCTGACTCCCCAGCCCAGCCGTCAGATTACTGAGACGGCCTGACCTCTTCCTGCAACCTCATGAGAAATCTCAAACCAGAACCGCACTGCTGACCACTTCTGAATTCCTGTGAGATAAGATGTGTTTATTGCTGAGAGTCACTTTATTTGGGTGTAATTTGCTTCACTGTAATAGATAGTTCATTTAGGTGGCATCCAAGTTTATGTCATGCTCTAAGATAAGATGGGGAATGGTGAAGGATGGAGTCCAAAAGTGAAGGGGATGATCTGATTGGAAAGATTTTCTAGTCGGGGTAGACCACAGGGAAATTTAAGAGGGAACTGCTGTTGATTTTAGCAATGAAGTGATGCAACTGGATTTGTGAGTTAGAAAGTAAATGCCTAGGGACTTCTCTGGTGGCCCAGTGGTTAACAGTCACCCTTGCAAGGCACAGGACACCAGTTCGACCCCTGCTCTGGGAGGATCTCACATGCCTCGGGGCAACTAAGCCGGTGTTCCACAGCACAGGAGCCGCCGCAGTGAGAAGCCCGAGCACCGCAACTAGAGGAGTTTGTGTAGCAGTGAAGACGCTGCACAGCCGTAAATAAATAAATGTCTACTGTACAGCAGAGAGAACTCCACTCAACACTCTGTAATGGGAAAAGAATCTTAAGAAGAGTGGATATGTGTGTATGCATAACTGAATTACTTTTCTATATACCTGAAACCATTCTGCTTACTTGAGTCGTGTCCAACTCTTTACGATTCTGTGGACTGCAGCCCGCCAGGCTCCTCTGTCCATGGGGATTCTCCAGGCAAGAATACTGGAGTGGGTTGCCATGCCCTCCTCCAGGGGATCTTCCCAACCCAGGGATTGAACCCAGGTCTCCTGCATTGCAGGCGGATTCTTTACCAACTGAGCCACCAGGGAAAGTATTACAACACTGTAAATCAACTACACCTCAATAAAATTTTTTTAAAAAAGACTGCACTTCCAATGCAGGGCACGTGGGTTCCATCCCTGGTTAAGGAACTAAGATCCCACATGCTGTGCAGTGTAGCCAAAAGATGATAAAAAGAAAAGAAAAAGAATAAATGCCTAGGCACCAGAGCATGAGCTGATGAAAGGTGATAGCAGATATGATATTAGCCTTGAATTATTGCAATGATTTTTTTCCTACTGGATTGTCTGTGTCTACCTTTATGAGAGTTTGACTTCTAGAGGAGTTGCAAGCGAACTGACAGATTGCCACCTCCTTCCCTCTTCACAACTCTTATCTACAGCCTACTTTGTTGATAACCTCCTTGCATCTGCTTGATTACCTCCAGTGATGGGAAGCTCACCACCAGTTGAGTTCGCTGCCAGCAGGTTGCTTTGAAGAGCTCTGACTCCCTATTTGAAGAGTACAATTCTAGTGGACTGTTGGGCTGGGTTTTAGACTTGTCTCCCCCACTGAACAACTGGTGACCTGGGGACTAGAACTCTTAAGATCAGTGTAGACTTGGATGGTGTTCAAGACTCTAGGACCTGCTGTTAGCTTGCTTGTTCTCTTGTGTGTGTGCGTGCTAAGTCACTTCAGTCATGTCTGACTCTTTGCGACCCTATGGACTGTAGCCTGCCAGGCTCCTCTGTCCCTGGGGATTCTCCAGGCAAGAATTCTGGAGTGGGTTGCCATGCTCTCTTCCAGGGGATCTTCCTGACCCAGGGATCGAACCCACGTCTCTTACATCTCCTGCATTGGCAGGCAGGTTCTTTACCACTAAGGCCACCTGGGAAGCTTGAGATGAGCTCAAACAGATCAGTGATAAAAGTAATGGCCTCTGAGCCCAGAGGGACCCAGTAACTCTAGGTTGGGGTCTGAGAAGCAGAGTGGTGGAGACTTTGCCATGCCTACCATTTCTAGACCTGATTTCCCCAGACTGAGCAATAGAACCTTCTGAAGGAAAGCAGAACCCATTTCACTCTAAGCCCACATCTAACTCTGCAGCTGTTTTGAAGCATTGGATTGAAAGATGAGGCTTTGAATCGATGTGTGGTTTTCTGAGTGCTCTGGAGAGCTCACGCCGTAACAGCTCACGTGCCCCTCATTCTGATGGCCCTCGTGGGCCTGCAAAGAAGTAGCAGGAAGGCTGCAGTCCCGGGATGCCTATGATGAAGATGAGGTCATGGTTCATCAGGACTTGGCTTGGACAAGCCCTGGTAGGGGAAGCACTAGAAGCATCCCAGCTTTGGTTCAGTCCCCTGCCTTTCCCGCCCAGGGTTGCAACACTTGGCCACCAAGAGAGGCCTGCTAAGTGCTTTGGATGTCCATACAGGTGCTTAATCAGTAAGTTCAATCATCTTGAGTTTTAATAACTTTTAGCCATTCAGTGTATTATGCAATCCCTGTAGGTCCTGCCAAGACACAGAAGCAAGACTGTGAACAAGCAGATCACCCTGTCTCTTTTGTTTCACATGGGTACTTAAACTCGAGTGTCGTATTTGTTGCTGGTATTGTGTGGATGTTGGTCAACCAATAGATTTTTGAAACTTTATTTCAGGATATGTAATATGTTCCTTAAATTTCAGAAGTATAGTGTAGTAAAAAAAAAAAAAAGGGACTTTAAAATCAGAATGACCCACTTTCAAATTACGGCTTTGTTTAGACATCTGAATTCAACATGGCAGGAGCACAGACAGGAGAGAACTTTCAGCGGGATGACCCTCATTCTTCACACCAGCCTCTGAGCACAGTGGGGAGGCTGGGGGAGGACCATTTCTGCTCAACGTGGGACATCCCTAACGGGCAATCATTGCACTGCAGCTCCCTGGTGAACTGGCCCATACTTTGTCAAATCCCCTGCACCACCCCCCAGACCTCACACACACACACACACACACAACCACTTGAACTACTAATTCCATCTCAAACTACTAATTCCATCTCTGTGTCTCCTTCCCAAAGGATCCAACTAACAGCACCAGTTAAACTCTCTGGGATTCCATTTTCCCTCTTTCAGATTGCACAGTTGGGAGATCAGGTCTGACCTATCTGCACCACCATGTGTGGAGTGGATCGCGGGTGGGCGCCTGAGGCCCAGCACAGGGAACTGAGTTCGGTGCTCGTCGGACGCCTCTCGGGGAGGGCTGGTGGGGAAGGGAGGTCCGAGAGGGAAGGGACATGTGTGCACATGTAGCTGGTTCACTTGTTGTCCAGAAGAAACTAACCCAAGATTGTAAAGCAAGTATACTCCAAGAATAATAAAACCAAAAAATTACATTGTTACCAAACACAACATCAGAATGAAGAGGTGAAGTGAAGTAGGATATGTCCATTATCCTGGCTCACAAGAAACCGAGATTTTTTTCCTTTACTCACTAGAAAGAACTTCTCCACCACTGGTGTATAAAAACAAGATGTATTCTCATGGCTGAGTCTCTTCACTCTTCACCTGCAGCTATCACAACATTGTTAATCGGCTCTACCCCCAAACAAAATGCTTTTGGTGTTAAAAAATATATTAAAAATTAAAAAAACAAGATGTATTCTTCACTTCTATTCACCAACTATAATATGCATGTGTGAGAGTTCAATCATGTCCAGCTCTTTGCAACCCCGTGGATTGTAGCCCGCCTGGCTCCCCTGTCCGTGGAATTTTCCAGGCAAGAATATATTTTCACAGAATAACATTAACCATCCTAAGGGTTATGCTGGAAACGACTGCATAAAAGTCACAGGTCTGTGGGGATCTTGGGGGTGGAAACTTGGGGTTTCCTAAGTGCTACGACAAATGTAAATATGGGGTGATCAAGGGGAACACAGAGAAGGGAAATCTAGCCTGGAACATCAAGAAAAACTACCTAGGGTGAAAATACCTGATTTGAGCCTGGAAGAAAGAGTACATTTCAATAAGCAAGAGAGGAAGGATGTTGTCAGAAGAGGGGGAGGCTCTTGCCAAGTCTCCAAGATGCCAGAGAGCAAGGTGGAGTGAGACAAAGTCACGATGCTCCACAGATAGTATAGAGCAGATGGGGGGAGGAGGAGGAGGTCCCAACACAGCTGTCCCATCCATGGGGGGCTCATGGCAGGGGTTCTGTACCCCGCTGCCCAGGAAAGGATGGTTAGCAGGGCCAGAAGGAGTTAAGGGTCTGGTCCACGGTCCCCGGGTGGTGAAGTCACCAACCACCCAGAGGCAGCCCAGATCTCTTATGCTCCTCCACCGGCAAGTGCATGAAGACGCCCTCATCACCGGAAGTTACTGCGGCAGCCAGACAAGCCCCGACCAGGGCTTAGTTAGCTGGTTGCCATGGGGCAGGGAGAGGGGCACAGTTGCTGCTGTCGTCCAGTGGCTCAGCCGTGTCCGACTCCTTGCGACCCCATAGACTGCAGCACGCCAGGCTCCCCCATCCTCCACACCTCCCGAGGTTTGCTCAGATTCATGTCCATGGAGTCGGTGATGCCATCCAGCCATCTCACCCTCTTCTGCCCCCTTCTCCTCCTGCCTTCCATCTTTCCCAGCATCGGGGTCTTTTCTAGTGTGTTAACCAATCAACCTCAGAACCAACACTTCAGACCTTTTCTGGGGAGAGGAGCTCTGTGCTGTGGTTCAGGGAATTTGAGCTCACTGTTTGAAAGTGCAGTTTTGGGGAAACAGAAGCCAGCGTGCACATTCACAGGATTCAGTTCCCCCCAGTCAATTATGCCTAAGTGATGTCAAGAGCCTGCCTGAGCCACAAAAGAGAGAGCAATCTTTAACCTCAGAATTGAAGCTGATCCTGCTGCCTTAACCTAAGCCTTTGTGTCTGGCCCTCCTTGAAGGCCCCGGTCTGGTTCTCATTGCTTTTGTGGATTAAACAAAATCCTTCCCATAACCTAAATTAGGGTTTGCATTAGGATTTCTTTTGTTACAATATAAAAAAGCAGAAGAACCACCCAAAGCCCTACTAGCATCTGGGCTATTGATCTGCTGGACACAGGCTGCCCTAATAGAAAGGACATTTTCCCGAAGAATGAAGATGACATCACACCGGCATTGACACAAGCCAGGTGAAGTGAAGCCCCTTTTCAAAGAGCTGGAGGAATGACCTACATGGGAAAAGAGTCTTTTAAAAAGTGGGTATATATCTGTATGGGCTTCCCTGGGGCTCAGTGCTAAAGAATCTGCCTGCAATGCAGGAGACACAGGAGACGCGGGTTCCATGCCTGGGTTGGGAAGGTCCCCTGGAGAAGGGCATGACAACCCACTCCAGTATTCTAGCCAGAAAAATCCCAGGGACAGAGGAGCCTGACGGGCTACAGTCCATGGGGTCACAAAGGGTCAGACAGAGAACACAGCATGTGTCTCATAACTGACTCAGCTTGCTGTGCTCCTGAGGCTAACACAGCATTGGGAATCGACTGTTCTTCAGTAACAGCTCTGAAATAAAAACTAAATACCAGGGCCAGAGGGACTTGGGCTGCTCCTATTCCCTGCTATTCCTTATCGGTGCAGGGAGGTTACTGCAATCCACACAGGATCAGATGGAACAAACTGGACCCAAAAGTTGCCTTCAGATGACATTTCTCTAGAAGAAACCCCATCTCATGCAAGAACACACGGACCAATCAAGCTCAGCTCCCTCCGTCTTGTAACAAAGAGATGCCAGCTTTGACTGGACAGGTGACTTGCTCCAAAGCAAGTCTGGCATGGCAGAATTGGAATCTGAGCCTTCCGGTTTCCAGACCATCACTAGTCTGGTCTCAGCTACTCAGAAAGCAGTGAAAGACTCCCAGGTCCAAGCTTTTCCTTCCATCTGGGTGAGAAAATGACACAATTCAAAAGAAAAGACTGCCCCAGGAACGGTGCAAAGAATTTTTTAAAAATAAAAACCAAACAGTTCTGGCAGCTGTGAAACACATTTTTAGATTGTTCGTGTTTTCACCGTCTTTGTACACGCGCTGAGGGGTGTGTGTGTTACCTGTGCAGCTCCGTGTGAATACAGACCTGTCAGTCATCCATGCCACATGGTTTGGGATTGACAGATGAGGCCTCTAGCAAGAAGGAGAGCATCCCCCTTGGACCTGATGCTGAAACTCAAGAAACAAACACCAGATGTAGATGTTGCTGGTAGAGAGAAAAGATGGTCACAGCTGATAAGGCTCTTAGGAGATTACCCAGTTCAGTATGTCCCAGAATAATCCACAGGAAAGTGATCTGCTTTTATATAGAGGGGTCCTGTGATCAACTGGCTTGGGGGAACCTCAGTTTACTTCCAATCTGACAGGATTCTTTATTGCAGGACTCCTTCACTGCAGGGGATTACTATGGTAGTGCGTACTGATGACTTCTAGGAGAGAAGTCTAACGTACAGACTCCCCCAAATGTGGGAGAAGAGACACGTGTATACGAATGGCTGAGTCATTGTTCACCTGAAACTGTCACAACAGTGTTAATCAGCTACACCCCAACACAAAATAAAAAGTTTTAAAATAAACCTCCTCAGTCTTATATGTCCACCAAACCCCTTTTCATTCTAAGGACAATCTCATGAGACTAATGTTTCTTAGGAAATAACCTTTCAATGTTGACCTTTTCCAATATGCTAATTTTACAGATGAGAAAAAAAAAAAGCAGAGAAGAAAAGTGACTTGGAACAGGTCACACTAGTCAGAATCACAAACTGGAATCAAGGTTGCTGGGAGAAATATCAATAACCTCAGAGAGGCTGATGATACAACTCTAATGGCAGAAAGCAAAGAGGAACTAAAGAGCCTCTTGATGAAGGTGAAAGAGGAGATTGAAAAAGCTGGCTTTAAACTCAACATTCAAAAAACTAAGATCATGGCATCTTGTCCCATCATTTCATAGCAAATAGATGGGGAAAGACGGAAACAGTGACAGACTTTATTTTCTTGGGCTTCAAAATCAATGAGGACAGTGACTATAGCCATGAAATTAAAAGACACTTGCTCCTTGGAAGAAAAGCTATGATAAACCTAGACAGTGTATTAAAAAGCAGAGACATCACTTTGCTGACAAAGGTCCGTCTAGTCAAGGCTATGGTTTTTCCAGTGGTCATGCACAGATGTGAGAGTTGGACCACAAGGACGACTAAGCCCTGAAGAACAGATGCTTTCAAACTGTGGTGCCAGAGAAGACTCTTGAGAGTCCCTTGGACTGCAAGGAGATCCAACCAGTCCATCCTAAAAGAAATCACTCCTGAATATTCATTGGAAGGACTGATGCTGAAGCTAAAGCTCCAATACTTTGGCCACCTGATGCCAAGAGCCAACTCATTGGAAAAGACCCTGATGCTGGGAAAGATTGAAGGCAGGAGGAGAAGGGGACGACAGAGGATGAGAGGGTTGAATGGCATCACTGACTCAGTGGATATGAACTTGAGTAAGCTCTGGGAGGTAGTGAAGGACAGGGAGGCCCAGCGTGCTGCAGTCCTTGGTCACAAAGTGTCAGACACGACTTAACTGAACAGCAACCACAGTAGAGTCACGACTCGAACCTGAGCCTTCAGGTGAGACCCAGAGAGACCAAGTCTGTTCTTGCTGCTGTGTCTGTAATGCACTTCTAACAGGGTTTTCACTGAGTAGTAAGCTGGAGCTTCCCTGGTGGTCTCCTGGCTAAGAGTTTACCTTCCAAAGCAGGAGGTGCAGGCTCCTGGTTGAGGAGCTAAGCTCCCACACGCCTTGTGGCCAAAAATCCAAAACACAAAACAGAAGCAATTTTGTAGCCAGTTAAATGAAGACTTTAAAAAAAAAAAATATATATATATATATATATATTTTAAAAAATTAAAAAATTAGTAGAAAGTCAATGACTAATCAGTAAGAGCTAAGTGTTTTATCCACATTACCTTATACAGATGGTTTGAACACGGCCTTAAATAATTGGTACTCTTACCACCAGCTTTACAGGTAACGACATTGAAACCTGCTCTATTGGCCATTTGACTTCAGGCAGAGGGCCCTCTCCTGGCTCAAACAGTAAAGAATCTGCTTGCAATGCAAGCGGCCGGAGTTCAGTCCCTGAGTTGGGAAGATCCCCTAGGGAAG